CTCAAAAAATTGTTGGGAGGCGGTGGTCAATCGGTTAGAATTACCAAGTTATCGCCTCGATGTATGTGGGTTAGAATTCCGTTATCGCCGCCTAAATTTTCCCTTCTATGTTTGTCCCCAGGCCGTGCCTTAGTGGCGGAAAGTTGTAAATTCCAGGATTCAATAAAAAGAAAGTGAAAATATCATTATTATTATCGTACGCATCTAGTGGGACAACCGCGGTTCACACTAAACGGAGGTTATTTGCCATTCCAAGTCAGGCACTAACACAAGTGCTTGACTTTGGCCGACTACAACAATTCTAGTACTTAGTACACACGCCACCAGTTGGGTTTCCTCAGCACAGGGCTTTTACCAAGACCGTTCATTCTCTCTCTCTCTCTCTCGGTGCATCGGTCACGAGCACAGGTAACAAAAACCAAGGCACAGCAATGCAGGGTTATCGGTTGTGTAAGCTAAGCTGCATTTGTTGTGCGCGACATCGACGCTCATTGTTATAAAACTGCGTGTCGAATAAGATGATAAGATCACTAACAACCAAGACCCCGCATTCCGGTGTGGCAGTAGACTAGACAGGACACAGCATAATATACCCGATATCGCATGGCAATTGCCTGCAACAATTAGATTCCAATCCGTTGGTTGAATCGGTCCTCAATATTTGTAATCCAAGGAGTACAAACTTTTCAATGCATTTTGTTCAAAAAAGCGCAGTGGAATCGATCATAGACAACCCACATGCGCTGTATAATTCCTTAACGACTTTCGTGGAGTTGCGATAATGTAACAGATAAACACCGGAGGATGACAGAATCACATACCATTCAGACGTTTGAGGACGACTTTCTCGACTGTATATGGTAACAACCGCAGAGTGTCATCCGTGGCCTCCGTAGATGCTCCATTCACTGCAAGTTCAGTAACAGCGGGCTTGGATTCGACAGCCGGGCCTGTGGGAAGACAGGCAAAGTCTAGCAGATCCCGGAACCAATCCATTTGGTCCAGACGAGTACTGTTCACCTACGGTCAGATGTATGAACCAATTAGGTAATCACCAAATGGGGATAGTGGGTTGAGAACAAGGGAAAACGGGAGTAATGTGGAGGGTTAAAACGATAGAATCATTGATTAGACAAATGTTATAGCTAAATTTATCTCAGAGTCCAGCATGGAATTCGAATTCTGGGACGACTCGAGGTAGGAGTTTGATACAAGTGTACCTCTAGTCGAGTTGTACGCTAGCAGCCACGTCTCTAC